CGGCCCCGACGTCTGAGGGAGGCCCCACACCCCCCGAGGAGGATCACTGGCTCGCGCAGCGGATGACCACCTGCGAGACCGGGACCTCCCTCACGGAGTGCCTTGAAAGGATGCGAAAGGGTAAAACGCGCCAGATCGTGGTGTTGACCGAAAAACGTGGAAGCGGTGCTATAAATAATCATTGTCAATCCAATAACATTAGTACGATGAGTAATCTAAAAGAAAAGGGTGAAAAGGAGGAGGATTTATCTTTTGCCTCGGGGGTGGTCGCGGTTCTGGATGTCGAGCAGATCGTTGCCTACCTCGGTGTGTTGTTTTTTAACCTCGAGAAGGCCTCGGAGGGGCTGTGGAGCCTGACTAGTGGCTCAAGCTTCGAGAACGTGAATGAGAATAACGTGGAGTTTAACGTCCACGAGAGGGCCGAGAATCTTCTCATTAATAATAATCGAAATGATATCACTAATGATGGAAATAGTAATTCGAATAATAATAATAGCCCGCTTAGAGAAGTGGCAAATGGATGTGTGGAAAACGTGCGCACACCAACGCTTCTGCGGGAAGGGAACTATGAGATGGGGAATTTGCTCGAATTGTACGATGACATCGATGAGCCCACGCTGCCGGTGAATATTAGCGCAATTCTGGAAAAGATGAAACCCCATGGGGCCACTTTGGAGCCTCGTGCGGGGCCTTTCTACTCGCTGTTTGATATTCCATTTAATAAACTACCGGAAAAGATCGCGGCGCTCCGTCGAAGAGCGGTTTACGTGACCATGATGCAGACCCTCCGCGAGGCGTTGGTGCTCATGTTGAATTACGATATTGAAAGCATCGCCGTCTGCGATTCTGCGCGGATTATTCGAGAGGTGATAAGTTGTAGTGATCTCCTACGGATGGAGAATCATGGCGTGTATGATATTAACATGACCGTGAGCGAGGCGGTTAGTGGGAAAAGCTCGGAAAAGGTCTTTGTTTTCCACGAGAACGATACTGTGCGTGAGATTTTCACGCATTTCGTTCGTCAACGAGTGAAAGTGCTTTTTATGGTGGATCCCGATTCAGGGGTTCTAAAAGGGCAACTCAGTGTAAGCGAATTCGTCTTTTTCTTAGTATCAGGCCACGTATAATTTATTTAAAAAAAAAAAGCTAAAAGAGGGAAGATAATAATAGTCGGAAATAAAAGTACAATAAAAAGGAAAGGAAAAAAGGGGAGTTTTTATTTCTCTCGTTTTTTTTTTTTCGGGTAAGGGAGAGGTTGCAATGACTAGATTTTTCATTGGTAACTCAACCAATTGCTGCATTTTACTAAGGCCGTGTAATATATTTAGAATTATTTTAAAATTTGTTTCCCTTTCAGCTTCTTATCTTTTCACACTCATATAGGTTTGCTTTTGCTTGCTGTTTTTTATCGCTGGTGAATTATATTGAGATGACTTGTTGCTGTTGTTTTTTACATGTTACCTTTTGAAGGGGATCATAATGGTGCATGAATAATAATGATAATGAACTGTCAATATTTTTCTTTTCTTTATTTCTTTCTTTTTTTGATTGTGCTGTTCCGTTCAATGAACCTGAATCTAGCTTTTTTTCGAGATCTTAATAACTAAATATAATTGAATGGTTTCATTCTTCTTCCTTGAAGTAATAACTAAATAAATTGTGTGGTTCTAATATAATAAATAACAGGAGTCGTTTTCTCAAATTAATGTCTTGGTTTTGTTTTCTCATGCTCACATATTTTAATTATTATGGCTAATATTGCCTCCACCTTCGTATAGACCTCAACACTTCTGTTATTATCATTATTATTAAATGTTGTATCATCATATCTTCTAAAAATTTTCAAATAATTATACACTGATTTCCCTACATAGCTAAAATTGACGTCAATATTAGTCACGCTAATATGTTTAAGAGGTACGTATGAAGGGAGGATGAGCAATGCAAAATAAACCAATGTACGCTGATTTCACATGACATCACCATTACCATTTTCTACCACTTTGATGGTATATGGGAAAAGGAAAAGAATACACACATAGAGAGAGAGAGAAAGCGAGAGAGAGAGAGCGCGACCTAACACAACGCGACGAAGAACGCGATCATGCAGCCCGGCGATACCGTCATCCTTGATATCGGGTCGCAGACCCTAAAAGTCGGCCTCAACTCAGCCGCCGCCCCGGAGTGCATCCCCGCGCTGGCCGGGACCCTGAAGTACCGCCCACTTTTCTACGATAGCCGGCGGCCCCCCCCGCACGAGGTCGTGTCCTCCGCGTTCGCTGCGCAGCCGCCGGCGGACGGCGCCGCGCCGCGGCTCTTCGGGCGGCAGATCACCCCG